TCTCCCCATCTACTCATCTACAACCTTTTAGCCACCCAGCACTCCCCTGCATTTGCCAGATCTGGGCTCTATTGGCCATGCTGCTCCCAGCTGACCTCTGCCATCTCCTTTCCATTGCTGAAGAGGTAACACCAGCATGACCCCTGAGCAAAGTAGCTGCTATCCACCCCAGATCTTCTTCCCAAGGCCATGTGTTGCTTTCTCGCAAAGCTTTGGAAGGCTTCAAAATCTTATGAAAAAGCCATATGCAATCTGAACAAGGCTACACATGGACTCAGGAAGAACAGTCAGCAGCACAAAGGTCCAGGCCAGATGCAAATGGTCAGCAGCAAAAGATGGCAAAGGTCAGCTGGGGTTGGCAGGGCCAGCAGGCCAAGCGGAGCAGGCCAAGCAGACCCCGGATACCCAAAAAGGCAGAAACGGGGAGAGACAGGCAGGTGAGAGGAGCTGAAGTGTCCCTGTGATCATTAAGTACAGACAATTCTGAATTTCTAGGGAAGGTACAGTGAACTAAAAAGGGCTCTATGAAAGTTGAACCAAAGACCATGGCAATAACCAAAGAACCTCTCCACATAAGGAAGATGGAAGATCGCCCACATGTGCTCTGATGGCTACTCATGAGGAGATTGCAAGACAGGTTTCGCATGTTTGAATGCTAGGACATGAAGTGATCAACCATCTAGCTCACAACCCTAGCAAAACATTTTAAAGGACACTAAGTTTGCAAACCCCACTTTCCAATAGAAATTGCTTACTAACCATTTTAAAGCTATTAAAGCCCTTCAGGACAATAAGGCTATAGAAATTGAATAAAGAAGTAAGTTTAAAAAGTCTTCACTGGATGAGTGCAAACAATTCTGAATTAAAAAATAATTACAAGCTTAAGAATTTAAAAAAATTGAAATAAACAGCTAAAAGCTAAATAAGATTTTGATCCAAGAAATTTATAAATAAAGGGTCCAGATGAATTTGGAATATTGACTTTTACACTAAGATTTTGGAATTAACTATAAAAGTTAAGCTTCTCTTAGGAAACAGATTTATTATCTGGTTACTGTGAGTCCTAAGATGATAGGTGATAATTTTAGAAACTGGATTTTAGGGAATACTAAAGATTTTAAAGCAGAAAAAAAGAATAAAATTGTGGTCAGTTACTATTCCGCATAAAATGGCACAAAATTTTGTATGTATTATGTAACATTTTAAAAATTAAGGGAGATATTTTAAGAATAGAGCCAGAGGTTAGTAATATAATATTAACACTATCAGTAATTATGTCTACTTCTATGTACAGACTATGTCCAGATGTTAATGAAAGAATGACTATCTGACACGGTAAGTACCAAAAGTGGAACTACAAATGACAGGCCAAAAGAACCATTTAGAAAAGAATGTTTTACTAGATATACTAAAAAAACTTGTAGTTTTAAAAATTAAAAAGAATACAAACAATAAACCAGTAAGGAAATGTTTATTAGATTTTAGACCTGGAAAATATTATTAGGTATGATGAAAATGTTTAATTAAAAATCATATTTTAAAAAAGTAAATGCAGGTGAGCTGCCAAACACCCAAATTTTGATCATGTGACAAGGATTTGCAATGACTACAACTTCAAGGACAATTCATTCAGTGCCATAACTTTGAATAGTCGCTGAACAAATGGTCATTAAGAAAGGACTACCTGCAGTTACAACATGATAGAGATGTCTGGATTTCTCTAAGTCATCAATTAAAATAATTCATTCTCCCTATCCTATTTATTACATAAAGCTAAGGAGTTTGCCAATTAAAAAAACAGCTTTTAAATTATAACACACTAGCTATCAAAATGGGAGTTGTATGTATTAGACTGAGAGACAGTTTTTAATGGAGGATACTTTTATTTACTAATCAAAATAATTTTGATAAATAAAATAGTTTTTTCAGAAGTTGATTATTATCCTCAATTAATTTATATTCACAAACTCATTCTCCTCTAAGGCAGTTTTTGGGGGTAGGCAACCTCCCTTATAAAAGCTGATGAGATGGAGCCATATGAAGAATTGTTTCAAACTTTCTCTCAACTTTCCTTCAACCCTTATGTAATCATTTTTGCATCCAGTCACAATAATCTCAGATGCATTCACATAAACACAATGATTCTGCTCATACTTTTTCCCAATTCACCAGTTTCCATTCATTTGACTCCTATTTTTATACTTCTATAATTTCCTATTAATATTCCACCAGCATCCCACACCAAGGCAACAAGTATGTTAGTTTCCATGCTTGGATCCCAATTTTTTTTTTTTTACAAAGATATCCTTTATTCTCCCATGCAGAATAAGAAAAGACACTTTCCTCTCAGACAAGCAGTAAAGGAAAAGCAAGTGGGAGATAGATCAGGCATATAAAATAGGCAAGGAAAGACTAAGAGAGTATCTATCTATCCACCCTGGACAAGAACAAATCACCTGATCCAGATTGTTTGCATCTCAGGGTTCTGAAGGAGCTTTTGAAGCACAACAGGCCTCGAAAAGAGCTGATATGGTTCCAATCTACAAAAAGGGGGAAAATGAATCCAGGAAATGATAGGCCAATCACCTTGAAATTAATACCTGGGAAAATCCTGGAAAAGATTATCAAATGAAGGATTTGTGAAATGAACAAGGTGATTACTAGAAGCCAGCATGTTTGTTAAAAGCAGATCAGATCTTATATCCTGATAAAATAACTAAATTAGTGGATCTACAAAATGCCGTGGATGTAGTATACTTGGACTTCAGTAAGGTATTTAACAAAGTAGACCACAATCTACTTCTTGCTAAGTTAGAAAAATTTGGGATAGACAGTACTACCACCAGATGGATTCAGAATTGGCTGACCAACCACACCCAGCATATAATCCTTAATGAAATTACATCTACATGGAGGGAATCATATCACAAGATTCTTTCTTAGACCCAGTAATCTTCAACAACTTCATAAATCATCTAGACTAGTAGTCCCCAACCTTCCTGGCATCAGGGATCTGTTTCATGGAATACATTTTTTCCATAAACCAGGGGGGATGATTTTGCATGCAACCTAGATTTTTTTAATTTTTTTTTTTTTAAATTTTTTTTAAGACTTATATGCCGCCCTTCTCCCCACGGGACTCAGGGCGGCTCACAGCATATTAAAACAACATAATACATTTCCCCAATAAAAGCCAATTAAAAACCAAATATTTGTAGCTGTGTCTCTTATTAAAATCATTAAAAATTATCCCTATTTAAAATTCACCCTAGGTCAGTCCCGCTTGCTGAAAAAGCCAT